CTCCCTTTAGGCAGATAGCCCTCGTGTGCTTTGCCATAATTAAATAATCCAATCCAATCCTTAATTAATATAATTGATTTGTTACTTCTACTAGAGCTGACGTAAGAATTGAAGTGCAAATAATAATATCGTGTGCAATCTTGATTAATATAAAATTAAAAATATTTGAACAAAAGTATTTGCATTCAGACAGAAAGTTTTTTTGAAATATTTGGCAATTATTTTAGAAGGATTTATTAATAACCGTTATAAATATTATTATATTACTGATGATTAGGTATTCAGTTCTTGACAATTACATTCTAATTAGAATTTTAAGGATATAATGAAAATACGCTACGCACAAAATACATTTAGGATAAAAAAATGAGTGATTTTTTATGTTTTAAAACTTCTTAATTCATTTAATAAACATCGTATCGTTGTTAATTGAATCCAAATGTTGGGTGTCGTTTATATAATTATTCTTACTTGTCCAAACCTCGCTGACTTATCCACCATTAAGTAGCTGCAGATCATTTCTGCATACCATTGAACTTCCATTAATTGAGAGTCTCTAGAGGTTGCATGTTTATATCATAATTTGACTTTTTAAAAATGATTATTCTAAATCTTATGTTTTATAAAAGTATACTGGCTTTAAAAATATGGATGCTAGTATCAGCCTCTCTTTCAGCCACTTCAAAAACAGTTTGTTTAGAATGAGTTATGCAGTTAATGTCATAAAATTCAAATAAACATCAAACAAAATTCTCATTTTTGACAATTTGATTTAAACGAAGTGAGGTAGCAGACGATAAACGCCGAAGGTAAAAATTTACTCTTATTATTTTTTTTTTTTTTAAGATAAGAAAATTAAAAAAATAGTTAAATTTGAATAATATCATCTAATTTAAAAAAATAGCTTTTCATATATATTTAATAATATTATTACGCTCATTGAGGGAAAAATGTTATATAATAATTCTCCGTAAAATTTTACTTGAAATTTAGGTTAAAATAGCTGTGGCAATTCACTGTACAAAAACGTAGACCACATTTGGCGTTATTATCGCTCAAAAAAAAGATCCCCAATTTCAAACGCGAAAATATGTAAATTCGTATATCTTAGAAAATTCTGAATAAAAAAGTCTAATTTTTTGCCAGGTATGCTTAAAAATACTCCTACTTTAAGATGATGGATAAAAATTTTATAGGTTATAATTCAAAATTTTTTCGAAAAATTTAATAAAAATTATTTAAAAATAAATTTAAAAAAGTAAAACACAAAAAATGGTAAATTTTATTTGGAATGAACCTAAATTTCGAAATGTGAGAAAAAAATCAAAAAAGTTTAATAAAAAAGAGATATTAATATATTTGCAAATTCAATTAACATTGAGGAGCTAAAATTTTGAGAGCTTAATATTTTAAAAACTATTCGTACGATTTTTACAAAACTTGGTATTCTGGTATAATTTGAGTCGTAGAATCGAAATATGGAAAAAAATTGGCATGATATTTCAGAAAAAGTCCGATTTTGTGTCAAAATACCTATGTTAGAGTAGCGCTATATATATATCTAATATATATCCTAAGTCGCGCTTCGAGACATGAAAACGCAGTTTTGAATTTTGTCAATCGGCCCAGTAGAACGGGAGATATAGCACTGTCCCATTTTTTTTTTTTTTTTTTTTTTTTTTTTTTTTTTTTGAGCTGTACATACGTACGTACAGACTCCACGAAAATTCTCTTCAGAATTCATTTTAAAATTTTGTGTTTTTTTTTTTTTTTTTTTTTTTTTCTGTCCTTACGTACAGATGTCACGCAAAAACATCGTTAAATTGCATTCGATAGCGGTCAAAATGGATATTTTCGTTGAAATATGATGCCTGAAAATTTTCGCGATTACAATACTTCCTTTTTACTTCGTACAAGGAAGTACAAAGAGAGGAATATCTTTAAATTTCCTACACTTAAATATGATAATGCCCTGCACAACATAAGAATATCGCTAAGATATTCTTGGGAGGATATGAGAATGTTATAGGAAATTTCAAAATGCTCCAATCATATAATGAAATATACGCAGACTATCTCAATATCTGCTTATTTTTAATTGCCAGTACTACTCCCATAAATGTTCAAAGAATAGTCTTGAATATTTCTGGGAATAGCATTGGCAATGTATATTCAAAGAATAATCTTGAATATTCTAATCATGTTTTAGGAATGTTCCAAAAATTTAAACTGAGACATACAGCAAATCTGCTTTTATGCCCGTATCTAAAGAATTTTTGGGGGTTTCTATTCAAGAAACCATCTTAAACTGCTCTTTGTACAGGATTGGTCCACTTTTAGGAATATTTGAGATTGTTTTTATAGTGTTGAGCCTTATAGTCCTATGAAATACAGCTAAAATATTTCAAGTACATTTCTTTCAATAGCTTGGAAGAATATTCAAATCGGATTGTGATTGGAAACCATTTCTAGGAATATTCTTCAAAAATCATAACATATTCCCTGGGGATATCCCTGAAGTATTCCAAATATCATTTGCGAACATTTTGGGATTTTTACGGAATGAAAATTCTGAGTGAGTTGTAGCGCACATTATATAATGTACTGAATATTCAGTACTGTGTGAGGTAAAATATAAAATTTACAAGTAATAGAATTATTTTATTAACTTTACAATTATCGTAAAATATTGTTGAATTATGCTTTTTAAAACATTGTATTAAATTTAATTTGGTGAAAATTTTATTTATGATTCAAAGTGTATTACTAGAAAATTATTTATTTTCTTAGTAATATACTTGCTGATTGACGATTGACTGATTGACTGATTGACAATTTTGCAGTCAAAAAAAAAAAAAAAAAAAAAAAAAAAAAAAAAAGCGCATTGCTAGGAAGGAGGTAATATCCAATCAACTACGACGTTAGCGTGAAGAATCGTCATCTATCAAATTTTTGCTTTGGCACTAGCGGAAAATCAATAAAAATCGTTAGATTTCTGTTGCAGGAACATTCTAACAAGTAATTATACTCTCGCTAGGAATTTGCCAGCTGGATATGAAAATAACAGCACATTAACAGCACATGAAAAAAAATCTTTACATTTCTTTAACAGAACTAACAGAAAGCAAAAGTATCACTACTTCAGCCATCTGTGTGAGTAATCTATAACTGTAAAACATTAGAATGATTTTCGCCTCTACACACCTTTGGTGTGCAATCACTTATTCAGACATGAGTAATTCTCAATAAAATACCTGAGTCATTTAACAAGTAGGTCTAGGCAATATTTTAGATTCAAGAATTTCGGTTTAAGAGAACTCAGCCTATAGCTAGGAAGAAATAATATATATTTCCTTATTTCCAATTATTAAAATTTTGTGTCATTTCTGTGTCCTAAAATAATCACGATTAAAAATTATATCTCTGCATCTTTTTATAGGAATGATTCCAATGTACTTTTCTTGACTTATGAGGAAATGAAAGAAGATATAACTGGTGCCATTTTAAAAATAGCATCGTTCATCGATGACTCTTCATATGCAGAAACCCTTCGAAATGATCCAGAAATATTGAATAACATTATAAAATTCAGCAGTTTTAATTACATGAAAAACACAGTAAATAAACAGGTGGAGCAATTCATGTCAATGTCTAAAGAAGAAATAATGAATTCTTCTATGACCAGCCATTTGAAGAAGGTGCTCATTTCTTTTGTGCATCCAAGTCTGGAGAAAATTTCTAGGGAGAAAGAAGAGAACAGCTATTTCGTACGAAAGGGAATCATTGGCGACTGGAAAAATTACTTTTCTGAGGATCAGAGCAGACGTATGGATGAGAAATTTGCTGAGAGAATGAAAGGCACCGATTTGGAAAGTCTGTGGAAAAATTACATGTAACTGTTTCTCCGATGATTTGAAACTAATGAAGAGAACTGAGAATGATCTTAAAGCTTTTTGAGTACTTCAGTTATTTAAGCAATAAATTATTATTATTATGCTTGACACTTTAATTTTCTTTCATTCCAAACGTTCTTATAACAGCCCATTCATTACATCGCCACAAAAGAAATATTACTATACAATGCAATATTATTTCATTATCAGCAGTCAATATTAAATATTAAATTTAGTTTTGAAAGTTATTATTCGATACCCAAAGGTTTAAGTTATAGTAACGCAGGCATACTGTGAAGTACAGATAAAAATATTCTTTATTATTCTTTTAAGAACTGATCCTTCTTATAATTATCCTTTTTTAATACAAAAACTGTGTCCTCCACTTTCTCAAATAATTATACTTGGCGAAATTCGAGTTTTCAGCTTTATAACTTGAAATGATGAATTCGAGCAATAGCTAGGTTATTGATTTACATGTAATTCATATATTTCTAGTAACATTATAAAGAATATACTAATTTTATGTACCTTCTGCTAAGCCTTCCTCAAATGATTGTAACATTTTATATTGAACGTTCACGATTGATGTAAAATTACATTTCGTTAATTCTTTTCACAAATTTTTTTGATTAATTTTGAAAAGAGCATATCGTTTCTGAGCGTAAAGAAATCTTAACTTTAATCTTCACTTTAATTTTAATAAAACATATTGATTATGACAAATCACACAACGACCTAATTAAAAGGACGTTTTTATGGAATCTTATGTAAGAAAAAGGGCCTAGTAGTCATACTATGCATGGGAAAAACCTCGAAAACACCTTCTGGATCGAATTACCGGAATTGAGCGGTTTTATCAACTCGCTCACTAGTGGACTTATTGTTTTCAAGATACCATGTCATGTATGGGCTGTTATCAATTCATAACTTAATCACTTATAATTTATATCTACAGGTCCTCTTTTTACTATCTGTAGTATTAACATAATGAATTCTGTTAAACCAAATGTTCAACATATGCGCATATTAAGAACTAATAACGATTCGAACTGCATAAGGCGACATTTCGATATTTAAAAGCAAATTACTAGTAAAAGAAAATCATACACCTTTTTAGCTAACATAAATCAAAACTGAATAGCACTCGTTCGCCCTGTGTATATGCATAGTACAAACATAAGTAGTTTCCAAGAAGCTTATTAAATCTGTTGAAAATATAAGAGGTACTAGCAAACTAAAACTATTAAATGTGATTAAATCTATAACAAAACTATTTTCCACTGCATTTAAACTCATACATTACGCAAGATGTTGAAATAATTATGATTCAACAATTTTTTAAGAACGGATTTTATTTCTAAAATTTGCATGTAGTATTCAAGAATCATTAACTGAAATTTTAACTCCTTAACTACTTTTAACTCATTCACATCCTGTGACAGCTAGGATAGTATAATTCCTAATTATAAACAAATAGATTAATTAACATAAAATATACTCTACAGTTGCCCTTACCAGTATACAAACTAATCGAAAACAAAGGTCTTAATTATCTTATCCAGAAAGTTTAATTTCAAAACTAACTTTTGAACTACTGCCTTTATAAAGATATACATTAAGCTACTTCCTAATATATAAATGACTCACAACATGGTTTAATTTCTTCATACAACATTTTTGTTCAGTAGTTTTCTTACAGATTCCCAGAATGAAAAATACTTTAGCACGATACACTTTGAATCATATGAGTATGTGAACATGTAAATAACCTATTACATTCACAATTCACCTCTGCTAACAACTTGTCAATCCTTTAATAACGGTACCACCGGCCTCCTCATATTTTAACTGGCGATATCAGTGATCTATTTTCATATTTGTATTAATGCATAATCATATTCGATGACAATAAGCCCATTTTCACTCTTTTTTTATTTCTTTGTACGAAGTACAGGCAGTACTGTAATCCTGAGGAATTTCGAGTATTATATTTCAAAGGAATATCCATTTTCACTGTTCCCGAATCCATTTGGACAATTTTTTTGAGTGACGTTGTAAGGATCTTAAGTTTTACTAACGTTTATTTTATTTTAAATCTTTACTATCACTTCTTATTTTCTACTTCCGGCCAGAATTATAAGCGTTAAGGTTTTTATGCAAAGTTTGTCTGACGAACACCAAGTATTTAAGTTGTGGCTTTTTGCCAAGCGAGAGAGAGGAAGCAGTTGAGTCAAAGCAGGCCGCTTACCTTAGAAGTTACTTAGTTGCTGTTTGCCTTCCAGGTCAGAGGTTTTAATCCTCTTGATAAATTTAAACGTATTGTAGTGTTCACAGTTCTCTGTACTACATAAGCTTCCTGTTAATATAAGGCCAATCTTCCACGTTTATTATTCTAAAGTTAAATTAGAGTTTAGTTTTATTTTTATACTTTTACGTTTTGACCCCAAGTAGCGGGTCGGTGTATTCCGAAGTACGGAAGTCATTGTAAATAGAGAAAAATAAAGGGTTTGTATACCCTTCTTGTGTATCCTGTTTACTTCCCACAGTTTTGAACATAGCTTTAGTAAGCTCTCTGTTCCGAGTCAGGTCCTTGCATGTTCCCGAAGAAGGTTAGAATGGAAACTGAACCTGATAGTGGCGCCCAACGAAGAAGAATAACCATGGCCGAGTTTCAAGAAGAACCTGTGCTGCCTGCAGAAACGGCTCAGAATCCAGAAATGCCAGCTACCGGCTGGAAGGATTTGGTTACATCGTCCAGACCATGCGCGCTTCGATGAAACCAGAAGCAACATTTAATGGAAACTCACCGGTAACCAGTTTTTTGGAAAAATTGGATGACCACTTCATGCTCTACCCCGTGCACGAGTTTCAAAAAGTTACCTTAGCTACCAGCGCTTTGAGGGGCCAAGCGCTTAACTGGTTCAAATGTATAGGCAGAATCTCTGGGTCAAGCAGGAAGTCCCACCGATACTTACGAAAATTTCAAGACTGCCCTACTAAAAGCCTTCCCTGATGTAAGGGATCGTGCGAATTAGAAACGGAACTTTTTAGTATATATCAACAAAGAATCGAAAACCTCTCAAGCTTTATTTTAAGAAAAATTCACGTCTTCAAACTCTTGTATGGGAAACCGTCCCGGATCCTGAAATAATTCAAGTGATTTTGCGAGGTTACTACCCCAAGTGCAAGACTTTATTGAATTGAGAAATCCGACTACACTGGAAAAGTTATTTGAGCTAGCAATCCAGTTTGAAAGTAGAAGAACGGCGGACGTCGAACGAAGACGCCAATATCAACAGCGAAATCAATTTGGTACGCCAAGACTACAGCAAACTCAAGCACAAGGCTACGAAGGCAAAGCGAATCAGTGGGCAAGGAAACCCGAGCATTCAAAAACAGCCGGCGAACGTCGACAGTTCAATAGCAATCCAGGAAAAAAGTCTCAAGGCAGGGGAAAGAAGGAAAGCACGGAAATGAAAAAATTTAAACTAAAAACGGATTTCTGCTGAGGGAGGGTGCGGAAATCCGAAGGCCACAAAACCCTCTTCCTACAAGTTAAATAGCAGTAATGGTGAAAAAATCTGACTCTTCCGAAGATTGAAGTCTTGGTGAATAATATCCCAGCCACGCACTCCTGGATACAGGCGCGCAGTGTTCCTGTGTGGCAGAAGATTTTTTTAGGAAGTATTTTCGGAATACCGCATATATAATTCGATAATACGACAGTGTTTAGCAGTGCAAGGAGAAAAATGTAAGTGTATAGGTAAATTACCGCTGTATCTCCGTATCAAGGACTAACAAGTAAAGGTTACGTTTTTCATAGTAAAGAATCTGCAAGCACATATTATTTTAGGAATAGATTTTGTTTCAGAGGCACAAGCAACGCTGGATTTTTAATGAAGCGTCCCGTAAGCTGACGATTGAAACCAGTTCGTGGAGAAAGGCTGAAACCGCCGATGTTAAATCTTGACCACCTGCCTAATGAAGAACAGCGAAGAATCCGACAAGTGGTAAGTGAATTTGCTTCGTTATTTAGTGATATTCCAGGATTTACTCAGGTTACTAACCATAGTATTGACACCGCGAGATGCAATGCCAGTTTGTCAAAAACCATACCGGTATGATAAAATATGGAAAAAATTATAGAATGGCATATTAACCGATATGTTAAAAAAAAGATTCATCACGCCCATCTCCAAGCAGTTACGCCAGCCCGGTTGGTTCTATGTAAGAAAAATAACGGGTATCCGGTTACACACCCGAAAGGTGGCGTTTCGCAATTGACTATCGCAAATTAAACTAGTCATTAACTAAGTATCCGGTATATCCGTTCACCTATTATTAGAAGAAATTTTACGGAACATAACATCTACCAAAGTATATGACTATGTTAGATTTAACGATCGGGATATTTCCAAATAGACATGGGTGAAACCTGAAGACGTGCCTAAGACCGCTTTTATAACTAAGTCTGGCACTTTACGCATTTCTGCGTATGCGGTTTGGCCTTTCAGGGGCCCCGGCAACATTTCAGCGATGCATGGACATTGTGTTAAGACCTGTTCTTGGAAAATCCACATTTATCTATTTAGACGATATCATCTATTACTAGTGATAATCTCGACCAACATGTACAGGATTTAAGACAGGTGTTTCTTTATTAAATGAGGCCGGTCTAAAAGTTAATGTCGAAAAGTGCAATTGCAGCCCCTGAATTAAAATATTTAGTTACAAGATATCTCAGAAAGGATAGAAACAGACGAATCAAAAATAATCGCTATACAAAAGTATCCGACTCCAAACACGGGAAGAAGCTCTCTTCTTTTCTAGGACTTTGTTCATATTATAGGTCCTTTATAAAAAATTTTGCAGCTATTGCTTAACCATTGTTAAAATTAAAAAGGAAAAAGGCAAGATTCTCGTGGACGGCCGAAGCCAATAGTGCTTTCGAAAACTAAAACAAGCATTAACGCAAGTCCTGTGTTGAAATTTCCTGAAAAGGATGAGAATTTAGAAATTTCAGCGGATGCTTCGGATATGCGGTAAGAGCGGTACTTTCGCAAAATCAGCAGCCCGTGGCATTTTTTAGCCGACTTTAAATCAAA